ACACCTACAATGTACTCGGTGATAGATCTTAAATTTTCTAAATCTTTACCTTGAATTCCATGTTTAGAGATCCATATTCTATATATTCTGTAAGCAGTAGTTAACCATCTTGAATGTGAAACAGGCCCAATTTGTAATAAATGAACCTTTGTTGGTAAAATACCACTTCTAATGGCACAAACAACTTTATAACCATAAAATTGATCTGCAGACAGGTCATTTATTATTTTATCATCGAGAGAAAAAAGTGGATTGCCAATTTTAATAGTTTCAAATACTGGATTTATATCTAGATCTGTAGCATGATCAAGCATGGAACTAATAACACCAGACCATTTATTGTTTGATTTCGTTTGACCATCTAAATTGGTTATAAGATGTCTCAGTGGTAACTCATTTGTATGGAGTTGACATATAAGCCAAACAAGTTTTTTTCCTAATTTTATTACTATATGTTTGATGACTCCACCCTCCCAAACCGGTGTTTACATTTGTAGAGTCTCCACCAACAGCCAGTAAATACTTTTCAATACCTCTCTCAGTCAGCCATTCAACAATTTTATTTGCTATAATCTCTGCATGTTTAACACTTTTTGTTGCTTTCTCAGGAGTAAAGTGAAACAAATATTTTCCTCCAGGTTCCATACAAACAGAGTAATGTTCTGTATTCACTGTTACTGGAAAATTTGCATTTGAGTCATCAAGTTCAATCATTTGATCAATTTGATCAAATGATTGAACATTTGATCATGGTTTGATCAATTTTCCTATCAAAAAATATGAATTTCACTTCTCCACTTTTTGCTATTTTGTAAAAATCCTTACTAAGATCAGAGATAACTTTTTCTTGCGCTCTCGAAACTTTACTATGGTCAATAATTAACTTTTTATCATCAGAGTTATTAATCCTGCATCAATTAGTGTTGCTGTAGCAATTGCAGCTGTAGCACGTGCAGATACCCCATATCTATGGGAGCAAAATTTACATAGAAATAGAATTACTTTTAAATAAAAAATCATCATTGACTAATAGGGTGGAGCGATTTTCATAGCAAAAAAAAAAAGTTTAAAAATCAATATTCCTGAGACACGAATCGATGTCTATTAATTATAAGATAAAAGTAAAAAAATATTTTTTGGTTTTGATAAGATCTTGAGGTTCCTCTTTGGATTCTAAATCCTTGACAATTCCTAATATTTTTGAATTTTTTTTTTCTAAACTATATCAACCTTGGACTCAAAAAAAGCAGAAAAAAATGCTTGTTTTATCAATAATAATTTTATTAAAAAAAATTTTTCAGTTAAAAAAATATTTGCAAAAATATACCTTTAAACCCCCATTTTGATGAAGACGGGGGTTTTTTAATGAAAAAAACAACATTATTTTTTTTCTCTTTAGTTTTAAATTAAAACAAATATTATATTCAAAATAAGCGTATTATTCTGCTTCTTTTGAGTACCAGGTTAATATAGTTTAGAAGAAAAAAAACTTCAACAATATTAGGATCCGTCATAAATTTAGAATCCAAAGAGGAACCTCTAAAACTCATTTATATTAAAAAAAAAGTAAGGTTCTTTTTTCACCAAAAGACATCGATTCGCAGCTCAGGCTAATCAAATTTCGAAAATTTTTAAAATCGCTCCACCCTATTGACTAAGTTTATATATATATATATATATATATATATATATATATATATATATATATATATATATATATATATATATATATATATATATATATATGTATATATATATATACATTTATAAGGATAAATACATTACTAAAAAATAAATTTATTTAAAAAGAACTATACCTTACGCTATTCATAGCTATGTGTGAAATATCTAAGGTATTGTAACATCTTTTTTTTCCTGATGATTTCTCTAGTACTAGAGGTAATTCTACATTAGTAATATCATCAATGTTATCATTTAATTCTATTTCATTACTAAAATCACTTTCTTTTTGAAAGTTTATCTGATCTGACTCAATTTTTTTTTTTAGTTAAAATAACATTGCTGTCTTTATTCTCAAAACATTTTTCTCGATCTTTTCTAAGTAATCTTTTGAACTGTTTCCTGGTTTCAATACTATCAGTTTTAATTTTTTGAAAATATATAAAATTAACGTCAATAGATGGTATTTTGTACTCTTTGATACATTTGCATTTACAATGAACTACTTTATCACAATCATCAGAACAAATAAAATCATCACATTTTACAATTGGGCATTTGCATACTTGTATATCAAAAAGTTTATCAAGTTTTTCTTTAAATTTTATTATTTGTTTAGCTCCTTTTTTTCTTGGACAAGCTATTGCTGAAGCGTTGTTCCACAAAGTCACTATTTTATCACAAATTGTTTTATCATTAATTAATTGAGGCGATGTAAATTCCAATTTTGCACTCGACCACTGGTGTAATAAAGCTGGAATTATATCTTTGGCCATCTCTTTTACAGGATAGTTTCTTTTTTTTATGTCTTCGCAGCCCTCTCTTAATAAAATTGTATATTTTATAACATCTCTGTTGGTTGGTAATTCTGAAACTAGAAATTGAAGACCACACGAGTAAAACCACAGATGTCCACTTTTTGAAAATTTATTACTCAATAATATTCTGACTCTAATCTTTTTAATTGCGAAGTAATTTGGTTAGATTTCGAAAAAAAAAATGCCTAAACGTTTGAAACCAATATGTATACTATACATATTGGTTTCAAACCTTCAAGGCAACACCTGTTTTATTTTTTTAACACTAATATACTTTCATATCTGTTGGAAACAGATGGCTGTTCTATGCTGCATGATTTTAAATTATCACTTGCCTTAAGTGTAAAGGATATCAAATTGATTTGTAACTTATGAGCTAGGCAAAATACAAAAATAAATGTTTTAGTTCGATTTTATTATCTAGTTTATAAAACTAAAAAACTTAACAGCATTACTGTTTCATTACCAATTAGAACTCTGTCACATTATGTATAGGTGTTACACCTCTAAAAAATGTGACAAATATTGGCCATTGCAAATCAAAATTTTCTTGCAGAAACACTAGACTATCTCACAAAAAACCATACAAGAAAATACAATAAAAAAAACCATACAAGAAAATACAATGATACAAGAAAAATTTCTGAAATTTGCAGAGTTTCAATGCCAAACATCTTGGTTGCTTGTTCATTTAAGAGATGCTCACTTAGAGAAATTAAAGTATTAAATATTATAAGTTAAAGCTTAATTATATGGAAAAATGGAAATATTTAGTTTTATGTGTGTTACATCTCATATGCTTTGATCAATGATTGAAGAGCCTGATAAACTGAAACAAGCATACATAGCTCTGTTGCTTTTTTTTGTTAAAAATTTAAAGATTTACTACATCTAAACATTTTCTGAATGTACAAAATAAGACATTTAATCTATTTTATTTTTTTTTGAAATTAAAATCAAAACATTTTTATTAACATTCTGTTCACAATTGGTTTAGATAAACTTGAAATAAAGTGATGGAACACAGACATCATGGAATCATCTGTGGTAGATAGATGAGGTTGGAGAAGAGATAAGGATACAATGCTATTTTGCATTAAGTTAAAAAAAACTTTTATATAATATTTTGTTTGAATTTTTTTTATTAAAAGAGGGGAGGGAGGGGCTTTATTATCTCATCACACGCTTAGTACGTTATAGTTGTATATTATAATGTGTTACCTTCTACCTTTAAAAAAATAAGTGCTCTAAAAAGTTACAAGCTAACGTAATTTATGAGTTGACGAGTTTACAACGGAAAAACCACAGATGTCAAAAATGAGTGTCTTGTTTTCAAAAGAACACTGTGAGTAAATAATACTTGTATTTAGCACAAAAACTGCGTTTTTATATTGTATAAGGACTAAAATGCCAGAAAAATATACATTTAATTAAATAAATTATTAATAAACAGATATCTAATGTCTCTAAACACTAAATTTCATTTTTCTCAAAATGAGAAAAATGAGACATCTGTGGTTTTACCCATGTAGTCTTCAATTGTTTTCCTGTACCAAATGCAACACTAATTTGCGTACAAGTACTTATTCTGGTTTTGGGTGCCATTATTCCTCCAAGTTATAAAATATTTAAAAAGAATTTATTATTGTTTAGTAATGAAAAAAAAATTTTTTTTTAATATTTTAAGAATGAAAACAATTGATCAAAAGTTCTTAAATTTATATTTAACAATATGCAGTTCGCAGTTGTTTACTAAATGCGGCAATGAAAAATTAATTTACTATTATAAATAATTTAAAAATTAATTTACATTATTAAGTTAAAAAATTACGCTTGAGTAAAATTTTTTTTTAATAAAAAGTTATTTTACGCATTTAATACAAAAATTTTTCTAATACTTTATACATATTAAATTAAATGATTTTTTTATAAACTTAATGTAAATTTGTTTTGTTGTTTAAAAGTCTGTTTTTTTTTATGTACAGTATTGTCCGGTAACGTCGTTATTCCGTTTAAAAGGAAATAAAAACCGTTAATACTTTCATAAAAAGGCTAATCACCTAAGTAAATATTTTTCTGATTTAAAAAATTTTAACAAATTTAGATTCTCCGTAAAATTTTGCAACTTTTAGTTATACCCCAAATTTTATTAAACTTTTTTTTCAAAAAAAGTATAAAATTGACACACCCTAATATATATATATATATATATATATATATATATATATATATATATATATATATATATATATATATATATATATATATATATACTCTTGCATGTCTCTTGCGTAGCATCAAAAAATATTTCCCATAAACTGTAGTTTTAAAGAGCGCGTTAATAAACCAGACCAGAAAAAGTTTTGAAAATTAAATTTTTTTTTTTAATTGATAGACTGCCTGGCCAAACCAAACCCTCAGTCGATGTAGCAGCACTCTCTTGCGAGTCAGGCTATTTGTCAGTCGTTGTAGCAGCACTCCCTTGCGAGTCAGGCTATTTGTCAGTCGATGTAGCAGCACTCTGTTGCGAATCAGGCTATTTGTCAGTCGATGTAGCAGCACTCCGTTGCGAGTCAGGCTATAAGATAGCCGATGTAGCAACATTTACGCATGTTTAAAAAATGTTTTTTATTAAATCAATAACAAAAACACCACTAATTAAAAAAAACTTTCTAGTCGTTATAATTGCGGTTTTTTAAAAATTTTTTAAAAAACAATTAAATTTAATGTACTTCCGCATAAATTAATTGCTTTGACATTTCGATGACAATCAAAAACAGCTTAAGAGACGAGGTAATTAAAATTGTAGTCGTAAGAGACTTTTTTTACATTAAAATGCTCTTAAAGCGACACTATATGGGTATATATATATATATATATATATATATATATATATATATATGTGTGTGTGTGTGTGTGTGTTATCTATAATAGTACATGGTACAAAAAAAAAATTTAAGTATATTATAATAATACAGATGTAATAAGCAGTAATACCAATTTCCTTTTTTTTTAAACCAAAAAAATAAATAAATTGGTTATACTGCTTATTACATCTGTATTATTGCTTAAACCAAGTCAACAAAACAAGTAACAAGAAATATTGTTTTAACCAAGTCAACAAAACATGTAACAAGAAATATGGAACAACAAGAAATATATATATATATACATATATATATTTCTTGTTGTATATATATATTTATATATATATATATATATATATATATATATATATATATATATATATATATATATATATATATATTATTTTGCAAACTACTTCGGCCAGAAATTCTCTCCATATTTCTTGCATTATTGTTCGTGTAATTTAGAGTTATCTTTGCCTACAAACTTACTCAATATGATCATGAAAATTATCTCTAAATTCCTCAACTATTTCCATAGTAACTGCATACTTAATTAATGATAGCTTGAGGCTTCATTAAGAATAATATTATAACAACAAAAAAACAACAACAGTAAAAACAATAAGATGTGATAAATTATCAAAATATTAAATTCAAACTTACTTTGCTATTTATTAATTAAAATAATAATTTCAAAGTTTTATGCTTTTATTGTTAAAAAACTTACTGTCAGCAGATCCTCCACCAACTAAGTTCATTCCAAATCCATTTCTGCCTTTATGTAAAGTCACTTCAAACACAAAATCTCCTATAAATATAGACATGAGATATGAAAAAAAAAATAAATGCCTGCATTACTATAATACTTTATACCTTCAAAAAGAATTTTAGGCAGCATATTTACCTGAAGGTTTGTTTTTTGCTGTTGGTGTATTATTAAATCTTGAAGCAAATGGAACTGGTATATCACAACTAAGTTGTTGAGGAGAGCGTGAAATTGCACTTTCACTTTTTTGGGTACTTTTTGGCATGTTTCCAATTGGTGAATTAGGGGAATTAGAAATATCGATTTCACGAGGAGAAACATTGTTCTTGCTTTCCGATTTTATATTTTGGTCATTTGAATTTAAACTTATCCATTGTAAACCTGTAGGTTTTGCAGAGCCATTCACTAGTTCTTGCTTTTCTTTTGCAAAACATTTATTATCTGTTGGTTTATTATCTTGATTTAATGAAAAATTAGCATTTTGAGGTGATAATACCTGAGCTTGTTGTGATTTTTGTTCTTCCGGAATTTTAGCAAGATAAAACTTGTTTTCAACTTTAGTTGCTTGCATTACCGTATCAGAAGTTGGTTTGATACATTTATAAGATTTTGACATAGAAGTATTATTTGAGAGCGTGTGAACATGAACATCTGCTGAAATTTGGTTACTTGAAGTATTCAATAAAGCTCGACTTTTTATATGTTCATAAGTATTGTTATTTTCTCTTTGTTCAATAGAACCTCTGTTGTAGCTATCACCTGACCTATTGTAGCCATCGCCTGACAATGAATCATTATTGTTATCAATGACAAAACGAACCCCTTCAATATGCTCTCTTGTTATTTCAGGATCTAAAAGTTCATGTACATTCCGACCATCTCTATTTCCTCCAAAAATGGCAGAAGAAATAGGTCCTAATGGAATACGAGAAGCTGATAAAATATTGTCCATATTTTGAGGAACAACTGACTTTGATAGTTTTTGAATAAATCTTTGAGGTGAGTCGTCATTATTTTGGGAAGACACAAACTTTCGCAAAGGGCCATCCACTACACCCAATGGCGAAGTTACATTTTCTTTTTCTGGAAATTTAGAAACATGAAAATTGTATAATTGGTTTGATTCAGTATTATATGAAGCAGAGCTTTCAACATTTTCTTTTTCCACAGAATTTAGTCTTTGCCTGCTTGAAATAGTATTTCCGTCATTGCTATGCGGATAAAAATTATTTGGTGAAGTATCAGATAATCTCTGCTCAAATCTTTTAAATGCACTTTCTCTTCCAGGTCCACCATTTGCATTATGGCGTGGAGGAACTGAAGGAGCGGTACCATTATATAAGGGAAATGCAAAATGGGGTTCACAAATTTGTGGTGATTGTCTTTCTGTAGGCCTAAGTAATGGTTTAGGCTGAGTCAGAGTAGACATGGTACTAGGATGGATTATTGGTTGCTAAAAAGAAAATATAACTTATTTCATTCTGTGAATTGCAACATTATTCCATTCTGTAGATTGCAACATTCTAAACCAAAAATTTGAAACCACAAAAGGGTGTTTAAAAAACCAGATAAGTTCATCATTAAAACTAAACTGATTTAAAATAAACAAACAAAAAACAAAGATAATAAATAAATACAATAAATCAAATTAATAAATTTTACAAGATTTAAATGCTGTTATGTCTAAACATGTTTTTCATCAAAAAACCCACCCTTCACTACTCTTAAATCACTTTTTTACCAGTTTTTTACAACTAATATAGTATTTAAGTTGACAATTTGATTCAAATTCTTTTTTAATTTAATTTCAATATAATTTTCAACTTCTAAAAAGCATAGTATTTTAAGGGTGTTAAAGGCAAAGCTTTTTAGAGACAAAATTTTTTTTTAAAAAAGCAATTTCATAAGTTTTTCCTTCTAAATAGCCTCTATTTGGAGATATCAAATAGTGCTTATGGAGTTCATTTTCCAGCCATTGATCCAAATGGATAGAAAATGAACTCCATAAGCACTATTTAATACCAAATCAAGGGGTACTGTGCTTTTATCAAAAATTCTTTTGTACTATTTCTTTTTTTATGGATTTGCTATTTTTTATTTTAATATCAATTTCAGTGTAATCTTCAACTCTAGAAAATGAATTTTTTAATGTTTTTCATTTTTCGAAAATTTTTTTTGCAATCATGAAATTTTTTTTGCTCACTATGCTTAACTATAGGCACCATACACCATACATCATACAGCTTTTTTTGATTGCTTCAATAAATTCTACAATTCTACTTTTTAAAATATTTCAATATTATTCAGCATTAAATAATTTCCATTTGTCACTTCCAATTACAAAAGTACTTTTGCAAAGTAATCTGTTGTCTTTTTGAAAAAGTACAAATTTTTTTTTTTTTTCCTTATTTTTAATCCAATATATATATATATCTAACAACTCCACTGAGCACATTTGTTCTCATTAACATATTTTTACCAACTCCACTGAGCACATTTGTTCTCATTAACATATTTTTAACAACTCCACTGAGGATATTTGTTCTCATTAACATATTTTTAACAACTCCACTGAGCACATTTGTTCTCATTAACATATTTTTAACAACTCCACTGAGCACATTTGTTCTCATTAACATATTTTTAACAACTCCACTGAGCACATTTGTTCTCATTAACATATTTTTACTGTAAAAAAAGTAAAATTGTAAGAATTTATTTTTACTATAAAATTCTAAAGCATCAATTATTAAAAATATATAAAAAAGGCCATAATAAGCATCAGTATAGCAGAGATAACACTCAATCAAAATAAGGAATAATTTAGCAGAGATAACACTTAGTCAACCAAATAACAAATACTTAGTCATAATAAGCAACAATAACACTAAGTTGAAATAACACAGAAATAACACTAAATTGTAATATTGATAATTTTAGACATAACTGCATTTTTATCCCAAAACAAATACAAGAGTATGCAAAAATTTCTTACAAACAAAAATTAAATATTATTTCATTCTGTAAATTACTCCAAAAAAACTACTATATAACTATAATGTATCATTCTGTAAATTGTTTTCTTGTTACAAATATTTCATACAAGATAAATAATTATAATAATGTTTTATTGAATCCAAACAATAAATGTATCTATAAATAATAAGTATAATTATATAAGCAACAACAATAACAAAAAAAAAAAAACTACAACAAATATACCTCTTTTAATTTAGTTTTGTATCTTTCTAAGATAAATGTAGCATTATTAGGAGAGTTTTTTAGAAGATCAGTGGCTTGTTGGCGAGTCAGGTTATCAAAACTTTGACCATTTATTTCAACCAAACGATCACCTAATATTTAATTAAAATCTAATATTTACAAAATATGGAAAGTTGCTTTACTAAATATTTTATTGTATATAATTCCTTTAAATAACTGTTAAAAAAAGAACCAGAGAAATAATCAGAACAATTAAATATTTATATAAATTTTTTGCTTATGCGACACAATGATCGCAAAAAGTGACTAACGGAGCCGTCCAGTTACAAAGACCTGGGAGATGTGAAAATAAAAACAGATTGAAGATGATGTCATTTAGGCAAAAAAACATAAATTAATGTAAAGACTATTTAGTAGGAGGAGTAAAAGTTAGCAACTCAGGAAGAGAGGAACCAAAGCTTAAAAAAAGAACCAGAGAAATAATAAGAACAATTAAATATTTATATAAATTTATAATAATTTATAAAAAATGTTTTAAAAAGAGATTTTGTAATGAATACTTTCAAAAATTTCTTTCTTATGGATCAAATAATAAAAATTTTATTCTTAAAAACAAGAAATGCTTTAGAATTATTTTATTTACAAATTAAAACTATTTATTTATTTATTAAATAACAAAAATCTAATACAATTTAAATTAAACTTTGACTAATTTTATATAAAATAAAAATGAATAATAAAAAATAAAATCTTATTAAAAAGTTTATTTATTTTCAAATTTAAAAAAAACAAAAACAAAAAACAACATTAAAATGTGTTTTGTCAATTGATCATTAACTGTAAGAAATGTTTTTTTTTTTGAGTGGCAGCAAAGTTAAATATAAAATAAAAAATAATAAAAATTTTGAAAATGGTAAATAGGTAAGAGACATGTTTAGAAAACAAAGTTCTTTTAATAAAATATTACCTATCAAAATATGTCCATCATTTTCAGCACACCCTCCAGGCATCAATGCTTTCACAAAAATACCACCAATTTCAGGACCACCCTAGACAATTGAAAAAAATCATAAAAATAGCAAAATTAAGTTTAGCACAAAAACAAAGTTATAAAACAAAAACTTACAAAAGAAAATTCTCACAGTCAAACTGATTCCGAATCCACTAACAGATTTTGTTAACTTTACAACTGTCAATACCTGGAAACAAGTTGTTCATGCATCTTAAATATGTGTGAATAAAATTTACCTTTATTTTAGCACTAAAATCTGTAGTTTAGTTTATGACCTTTAGTTTGCCTACTGCTGAAACATGGTTTAAATTTAGTTTCTAGATATAAAATTTACTTTATCAATCAAACTTTCTAGATTTAAATTTTACTTTATCAATCAAACTTTCTAGATATAAAATTTACTTTATCAATCAAAACTAACAGTTATGGAAGAACTAGAACAATTGATGTAATAATAATTTTTTTTTCTGGCAACATAAAAACAGTTTTTACAGTTAATTGAATTAATGCTATGTTAAGCTACTATGTTTGTTATTGTCATTGTTAACTTACAGATTTTCCCATTATAATGACATTCGTGACAATTAAGTTCAATTCAGATAATTATCTCATCTAAAACTTTTAATTTGATTTAAAAATTTTAATGTTTAATTATATAAAGACAATTTTTGATTAAAGCTTATTAAAAGTCGTTTTTTTGAATTTGTTTTTATTTTCAAAAAATATTTTGAACAATTATGAAATACTAAAAAACATTTCAACATGCTTTTAAAAGTTTCATTTTCTTGAATTTTTGTTATATATTATTCATAATAAAATCATAAATCAGGAATCACTTCCAGTAATTACTGAGTTATTATTTAAAATAAATTGTTCAAAAAAAACAGTTCTACATATATACATTTTTATATTTTTAAAAATATTTTTGGATTCAATTTGTTTTAATAAAACATTTTGAACATTTTAGCCACTATTAGAGTTGGAAGTCACTGAGTAAAGATGAAGTTTATAATGCAAGATAAAACAGTATAACTTTTAAAAGCAGTGTAAAGAAACATCCTTGAAACAACATTGACATTAGGAAACATAGATTTAAGTTTTTATTGCTGAATGACCAAAAGTAAGTCTAGATAATTTAGATTTCTAGTTTCACTGGTACCAATTTAAATTGAAGTAGTAACCAAGAAGTTGAAAAGCAGACATTTGGAAAAAATTTGCTTGCATCGCCTAGGTAGATTTATAAAATGTTTTGGGCGTGCAATGTGATTGCAAAAAAATCCATAATTAGATAAAGGAATTTAAAACGAGAGAGAAGTAGAACTTAAACTTGCCTTTGTTTTTTAATTTCAGCTAAAAGTCCTCTTCTAGTGAAGTTTAATTCCTCAATAAACGCCCATTTGTCTTGTTCACGTTTGCGCGCTTTTTTTTGTTTCTAGTCAACTGAGAATTTGTGGGTGACCACTAATATCACAACTTTTTTTTCAAAATTTTCAAAACTTTATAAAATCTTTTGTACAAAAAAAGACAGAGAATATACAGTTCATTTGCCATTTTTATATCAATTCAACAGCTTGATTTATTTTGTTTAATTTGTTGAACCTTTTATAATTGTACTTTGGATGACATGACCATGATGATGACCATGATGGTTTCATGACCATGATGACATGACCATGATGGTTTCATGACATGTTTCTAGCTGATTCAATTTTTGAGATATCTACTAGCTTCTACTAGAGTGTTCTGTTCATGCGTTTTGCCTTTTAAAGCTACCTTGAAGTTTAAGTGCATAGTATAGTTTATATATAAATATATAAACACTATCAACAACTTGGAACATAAAAAATCATATTATAAACATATTACAGCAGACGTATTTTATTGCTTCGAAATGCATACAAAAAAATTTATTGTTATGTTTTTGCATTTTGTTTTTTTATTCTCGAAAAAATAGATTTATAAATAAAAATAGAATATTCTGTCTTTTAATTTTAATTTTCAAAATTTTTATTTTTTTAACTAATTAAAAAAATTCTTTTTTTTTAATTATTTAAAAAAAATAACAATAATTTCTTGTTGCCTGGCCTCTCCAAAAACCCTGGCCCTGCAGGGGCTGCCTTTGCTGGACATGG